CGCACGCCCCCCGCCCCCCCCCCCCCCCTGTAAATCTACTAAACAATAACAATCACGAACATAACCTGAGGTATTTCTAGGCTCGTCTTACAATATGGCGTGCTCTCTGGCTTTGTTAGCGAAACGATTTGGTTCAAAGTATAAAACCAACTGACAACACAAAATATTAACCAAGTGCGCAGAGCCTTTAGAATAGCATTGCTGGACAATGTGACACACTATTTTAGCCAAGGGACTGCTTAATCAATCATCTTTCAAATTTGCTTCAGAAGGACAGTTTGGTAGCCCAGAATAAGGTCACCATTGTCCATCCTCTAATTGATTGGTCAGAGCAATTGCAACAGGCCCAGGTTTGGCAGGCCTGGAAATTTGATTCCCTCTAATCAAATTAAATACGTCGAATGAACTAAAATGTGACCACAAATTTGTGTGGGTCACACCATCCACTCGTTCCACAAGTTCCCCGTGCCTGCTGTGGGGGTCTGTCAATGTGTGAAGGTTACCATGACAACAAGGGGTTGCACTACTTGTTAGGCCCAGAGTAACGAAAACCTATTGCAAAAGCTGGAAGGTGCGCATGAGCTCGAATAACCAGCATAAATCATATTTTCACTCAGGGAGTTAGCACTTCATCACTAAGATGTCAAATTACACTTGTCGATTCGTGTCGGCGAGTGTGTGATTTGGAGCGTATGGCGGGCACATTGCCAAACGCCTCCCCCGCCCTTCACTTCCATCACCCCATGTGTTGACAACTTCACTGATTAATGAAGTATTAATGAGGCAACACGCGCTGTGCAAATCATTCACACATCAAATATTTTTACTGGCAATGAGGACATTCGAGATCTTAACTTGTCACATTTGTATTTTTTGGAATAGTCCTGATTTATCCATCATAAATAGGTGACCCCAGTTAAAATGAATGGCAACACTACTGCTACTACTACAATCTGCTCTAGCCTAATATGTGGACAAATTCAGGTTCCTTAAGTGTCTAACATATTGTAAGTACACAGTGTACTATTAAGAAATTCACTCACACATACCCCAAGTGGCGGTTTCAAAAATGCGGCCTTCGCTGTGGTTTACACTGTACAAAAATTCATGTCAACATTGCGCGTACCGAGAACATGGAGGAGGATTACAGCCACAGTAAAAAGAAAAACAAAAGCTTATGAGCAACAGCCACAGTGTAAAAATATTTCATAGATTCAGGTAGACTGGGTTAGTTTTAACAGCTATGGTCAAATGTCTTTTTGTATGTGTATATGACCCCAGATGGGAAAACATTTGTACACATCTGGTCTGATAAAATCTAGACATAACAGTGTGATAACTCGTCTGGGATGATAACACATTTGGAGAGTCTCGGGGGGTGCTCTGGCTTCAGCTTGCAGATTATACAGCACATAAAGTTAAACAATATAAGATAAGTATCTTGATGCTTTGCTCTGATCTCTTAAATAAGATTTTGCAAAGTGTCAGTGGGCCCCCCCCCC